ATGTTATTTTTGTGTCTATGATAGTTTTGTATCTGTGGTTTTTTTTTGTACCTTTTCGTATATTTTAAATTTTATACGTATATTGTACGTGTTTACGTTTTAGAACATCCCAAGCGTCATTACTTTTAAATGTTAAATTTTTGAAACCATAATTCTGAATATTTTTTTGTACGAAAAGGTAAGATTGTATGTAGAAAATTGTATGTATACATGTGTGTGGGCGTGTATGTGTGCGTGTGTGTGTTTGTGCATGTGTGTGCGTGCATATATGTGTGCGTGCATGTGTACCTTCAAATAAGATTTTTCATTTTCTTCATGATAGCGTTTCAGTTAGATCGTTGATTAATTGCTTCTTTCAATACGTATTTATAAGGGTACTTCGCAGGTATTTATATGCATTAAATAGAATGTTTAAGTAAAGAGGTATGTATTGATGAAAATACTAAATGTATGTGTTTGTGTGTGTGTGCATGCGTGTGTGTGTATGTGTGTATGTATGTGTGTATGTATGTGTGTGTGTGTGTGTACGTGTGGACTCAGGTGCGGTCGGTCGGATGCACATTTGTATATGCATCACGTGATGAAGGTTGATGTGATGTTGATGTGTTGGTTTGCGATAGGACAGGTAGAGCTAATTAATTTGTCTGTGTGATGGGGGTGATGATGATGATGATGATGACGATGAGGATGATGGTGATGACGATGATGATGATGGTTAAAAAACTATTATCATTATTATCATGATAGCTGTGAATTTCTATTGTGACCACTATATTTAGAATCTTCGGAATCGCCATAGCTATTTCCGCTTTTTTCAATCTCCTACTTCCGGGTGCATGCAGGATCCATTTCGGGGTGGCCATGATTGTGAGGATCATGCAGGGATTGGTCGAGGTTGGTGGACGGAAGGGAGGAATGAATAAATACAGGAATTAATAAAAGAATGAACGGATGATTAGATGGATGTGCGATTAGTTAGATGTTAGAGTGTATAAGGCAACAAATGATGAAGATGATGACGATGAGAATGACGTTGATGGTGACGATGACAACAGCGATGACCATAATGATGATGATGACGACGAAGATTATGATGACGTAATTTAGGGCGTGACCTACCCGGCATGCCATGGGATTTGGAGACACTGGGCCCCGCCCTTGGAGAGGTCGAGATTGGCTACTATCTCATTCTGCGGTGAGATTAAAAATATATTTTTAATTTTTGTTAATTTATTTAATTTAATTTAATAATTTAATTGATATTATTTATTAGTTTATTAAATTTCGAATTATTTTTCCACTTTTTATAAATGTTTATCAACCAGATAAATTATTTCTAACCGATCTCAAATTTTTCTCACAACGTTGTAAACTTACAACTTTAAGTTTACCAAAATCAACTTTTCGACCATCAATTACATTTTGATTATAACATTGATTTTTATTATTATTTTTGTTGTTGTTATTATTATTATATCATCTTCTTGGTCGTCATCGTCGTCATCTGCAGAAAGCTGAGAAAGCTGGCGAATAATTAAGTTAAGCCTATCCTGTCCATTAACATGTTAACACGATTGATCAGTCATTCATTCGTCTGTTCGTTTGTTCGTTCGTTCGTTCGTTTATTCGTTTTTTGTTCCCTTGTTCATTAATTTATTCATTAATTTATTCATTCGGTTTATTCCTTTATTTTAAATTTAATTACTCCTTCTAGTCTTCGTACAGTTTGCGGTTATTAAAACAGTTTTCAATTTTCAGTTAAATTTTATCATCCTTATCATCAGCAGCAACAACAAAAAAACAACAACATCATCATTGTCGTCGTCATCAACATAGTCATCATCATCGTCATCATCATCACCCTCATCTCCATAGCTATGCGAAGACCAGCAATAAATATGCATACAAATTGCTTGCAACCATCTCCACCTTCCCCACTAACAACAAACCACACGCACACACACACGCACGCACACACACGCACACACACACACACACAAACATATATATTACATATATATATATATATACATATGTAAACACATTCTCACATATATTCACACATTCCCAAACCCGTCCAAATACATCAATACTTCACATACAGCCTATATATCACGCGCACACACGTACACACACATACGTTGCGTAAGTACACGCACACGCACACGCGCATACACACAACAAACACATTTTATACATCTAGTGCCACACCTACTTCATCCACTGGTTTATAACTCTTTCATTGCGCTCAATTCTCACAGTTTCTCTCTTTCTCCCTCTCTTTCTTTCTCTCTTTTTTTTCTCTCTCTCTCTTCTGCTCTCCCTTTTTTTATCTCTTTTTCTTTCTCTTTTTTTCTCTCTGTTTGTTTTTCTCTTTATTCCTTTCTTGCTCTGACTTTTCTCTTTTTGTTTCTATCTGTTTCTCCATCTTCCTCTCTTTCTCTCTCTCGTTCACTCTTTTTTCACTCATTTTCACTTTCTATTTCTCTCTTTCTTTCTC